TATCGGCAAATATTCACTTGCACCTTAATATTTTCAGATTCAATATTTAGGAAAGCTTTACAACTAATTAGGAGGTTTCTCTTTTGCTTTATATTTAAAATACTCATTCAAGAAATCGAATCGAAAAATAAAATTTTTTCGCTGAAACTAAAAAAACATTTAATGAGCTATTAAAATCATTGTGCCAGATAAATATCTTCGAAGAAAACTGACAGTTAATAGGTAATAAAACATCGTTTTGCCACAATAATCTTCGACAAAATCAAAATCAAATGAATGCCGTTTTTTCAGATTTTAAAAAATTTTTTGTTCACATTAACCAATTATGTTAGCAGTGATTTTATTTCTAAAAATTTTTTAATAATATTAATTTTAAATTAAAAAAATAAAATTAAATTAAAAAATTAATAAATCAATTTTAAAAAATAATAAATTAATCAAATAATTTTTATTTTAAATAATTATTTTTTTCAATATAAATTTTTTAAAATATTTTATAATAAAAATAAAACACTAATAATATTTTATAAATATCAAAAATAGAAAAGCTCTTTTCAATACAAAATACAGCTTACCAAGCGTTAAAAGCAGATGTATTTTAGTGCGATTAGGATGTTATCTTATTGAAAATACAACGATTAATTTTGTTTTTACGCTGTTTTTGATCGGCTAGATTTTAATTGTACTGAAGCGTCCACTGAACATATAAAACTTAGCCAGCAACCAGGTGGTTAAAAGGCCTATTTTAAAATGTGGCTTGTTGATAAAATGGAGTTCGTTACTATTCCGCGAGAACTAACTGAACGGAACTGATATTTGTTGTCTGGGTAACGCTATTATGTTTTAGCGTATACACTATAATTTTATAATTTAAAATAAAAATTAATAAAACCACTTTATTGAATTAAACTTAAATTTGAATTGCATTAAACATAATATGTTAAAATGAGAATAAAACAAATAGAATTAGAATTTTTGCAGTTATTTCTTAAAATTATCATTTTTAAATTATCATTTTATCACTATTATTACCAGTTAAATTATCATTATGTAAAATTTGAAAAATTATCATTTATTGTTTATTTGAAAATTAAATAAAATTCTTTTCTGCAAGAGATTTTGCTTATTTCAACAAACACTTCGATTCTCTTGATGAATGATCAAATAGCATCGATTGAGAAATTTTGTTTATTTTGCCAAATCATCGTTCAATTTTGATTTTACACTCGTTTCATTTAACGAGAAATCAAATTGTAAAAAAAATTTTTTTTCAAATGGTCAAATTTATAGGGATTTTAATGTCATTTGTAACTACTAAAAAAATTTATCAAGACTTTAAAAAAAATTATCATTTATCAGTTGAGAAAAATGATTTAATCCTAAAATTAGAATCTTTCTTCGGCAACATTAAGATAATTCATAAGTTTAGTGATAAGCAAAATTTAGCAAATAAAATATGTTGCGACAATGTTGAAATATTAAAAATGCCGAAATTTTTTTGGCAATTATACTGAATAATAATCAAAGGAATTGCTTTATCAATCTTTGTTGCTATGCATTTATTTATTACTTGCGAAATTTTTATATCCTTAAAAGGATGAATAAATTAATCAATCTGTTATCAGTTATTGGATTTTGTAGTCAAAAAAAACGTATTTATAGATCAAAATGATTTAAATGGATCAAAGGTGTAGCGAGTCGATGCGATATGAACAATTCTAAGGGTCCATTTCAGAATGGTAGATTATGTGGAAATTTTCAGGTAGATTTTTGCTAAAATTTATTAATTAAATTTAAATATTAAATTTTTTAATTTAAATATTAAATTTAAATAAATTTAAAATTTTGATAATCTAAAATATAAAAAACACAAATATATTTCCAAATAATCTGCAACTGTTTCGAAAATTTTTGCAAGAATTTTCAATTCTACATAAATTCCTATATTATGAAATCATTTTTAACCCTCATAAGATAGGCTTTGCCGCCGTCTTTACTCCCTCCCACCTCCCCTCCTCCATCACTCCCCCACTGCTCTTTCCTACTTCCTGGTACTACACCCCTACCTCATCCACTCTAAAAAACCCAACTATCATTTATTATCGAGTCCACTCTAAAACGCAGCTTACTGTTAATTGCGAGAAGAGGCTGCGTTTTAGCATAAAATGCAGCTGATTTTAGAGTAACGCTGTAGCATAATCCATGTTGTCATTTTTTTTAAGGAAATTGGAAAGATTCGCCAAAACATTTGCGATTTCAATAAGTTATTCTCGCAAAGAGGTGATGAAATCAAAGAAATTGATCTCGAGAAAGCGGTCTTCAAATTAAGCGAAATGGAGTATAAGTACGGGTCAGTTGGTTTCGAAAACACCTTAAAATCGTCACCAATGAGGTAATCGAAGAAACCAAATCGTCCATTTGCAGAAAAAATAATCTTGCGGTCATCTTTGGCGAAAATAACTCAATTTCTTCTAACAGCTCTCACCATTAATGGTTAGGCTGGCTCCAACGGCTACAAGGGTAAGACGGTTCCAAGCGGCGCGGTCTGATGCCATCGTCGACAGTAATGGAAGCCATTCCTTTTTCCATCGTCCAAGTCCATATATTGCTGGTCCACCTATATGTTCAAAATATTTCCTGAACGTATAAGTCCAGGTCTTGATTGGCCCACCTCGCTTTTGACGCCATCCATCACATGGTTTAGCAAGTAACGAAGTATGCGACGACTCTTGCGATGGACGACAGAAAACGTGCAACCCCTAACCACTGAACGCTGTGTGATAACAGGTGTTTGAACGAAGATGGATGCGATCATGTGATATCTTATCAGTTCGACGGATCCGTAATATGTGCCTTAGAGCCTTAGTGGTCAAAGGCTAACAGCTTCTTAATATCTTTCACTCTCATTGGCCACGTCTCAGAACCATATAGTAAGATCGAACGGATCACAGCAATATAGATGCGGATTTTTATTTTAATGGTAATTTCACAACGGCTCCATAAAGTTTTCGTCAAGAATGATGCATTTCTAGCTGTCGTGATCCGGGCTATAATATCATCTTTTGCCTGGCCATTTGTTATTAAAGTGGATTCAAGATATTTAAAATCGGGCACTTCCTCGACCGGCAATGAATTTACAAAAAAAAGGCATTTTATCAGCTTTTTGTACATAAGACGAAAAGACTTTCGTTTTGTATACATTCATCCTAAGTCCTATTCTTACTGCAGAGTTATTTAGCATTACTTGCATTTCTTCATAACTGTCAGCAAAAAGGACTACATCATCGGCGTATTCAAGATTTGTGATACGATGCTCTGGACTGATTTGGACACCTCTTGAGTGCCGACAAGCGGTGTCCATTGCCATCCCATAGTTGAATATTGTAGGGGAAAGGACACATCCTTGACGGACACCAGTTCTTATTTCGAAGGAGTCTGTCAGTTCCCCATACACACAGATTCAGCGTATGGTTCAGCGAAACGTATCAGTTATATCAGGGGCAACAGATGGCCTTTCATGGTTAAGTTTGGTCGTAAAGAATTCTTTCCGTTTTATGAGGCGGTCCTTAATACTCTTAACTGGGAAACCATTGATGTCCCTTACCATTTCATTGATCGTTCCCCGAATTATAGTTGCTTTATGAAGAAGGCGGAATAGTTTCCTATTATCGCCTAATCGAGTCGCCGCCTCCATTCTTGAGGCCGTATCACTCCAATAGTGATTTCTGTCCTGCTATGCTGCTTTCGTTACAAATCTTCGAAGCTTCCGGTAGGGTCACCTGACATTCATGCTTTGGCAGCTTTTTTAGACAGTTGGACAGTTGCTTCCGATACCCAACCCTCCTACTACTATCCCCTAGCGTAAAGTGGCTGACTTTCGGAGATATTCCTTTAGTTTGGACTAGTATTCATTTGCCGTTCCAGAAAAGTTGTTGATATTTGTATCACTGAGATGCTTCAATAATTCAGAAAATAACTCAATAAATAGATAAAATAGATTTTAATAGATTTTTAGATTTTAGATAATAGATTTTTTTTTAGCTATTTTACAGTTTGAACAAACCACACTCATCGCTCGTTTATCTTTTTTTTAGAAATGTTAAATCTTTCATTGATGAAAGTTTTTGCCGAAACGAAAAGTCAATTGGATTAAGGGAACTGAAAGATAAAGTGATTTGGCTAAGAATGAAAAAAACGCGAGTTGGTACTATAAAAAGGAGAAACTTGTCTATTATAGGTAACACAAGAATTTCTGATGTGAAACAAGGTGAATTTTGTCGTTTTTTTTTTAAATAGAATAGAAAAAATTAGGAAAAGCTTATGACTATTAGGTGTATAGCCGAGTTACTATTTGATGATAATCTGATTTTCATTCATTCATTCTGAAAGATTCTAATTTTCTCATTCATCGCTTCGACATGTAGGATTTCTTGGGAATTGCTGGCTGATTTCATCGATAGCATCAATTGCGGAAATACGCAGCGTTTTAGATGAAATAATTCTAACTAGAGAGATAAATAAGAAAGGAATCTATCAAATACGGTTAGGAATTTATATTTATTCACCTAATAGCTTAATTTTTTCATACTTTTCATGAAATTTATTCTTGTGGTGCATTTCATGTATAATGTGGTGGTGGTGTATTTCGTGTATTCATGCATTCATTGGTTGTATTAGATTTTTTTTTCCATTATAATTGTTTTGCAATTATTATTTTTACGATTTTACAGTTTATTTATCGATGGAAAATGGGAAATTATCGAATTAGACGACTACTTTCCTTGCTATCGAACTAATCGCAATTTAATATTTGCTTCAAGTAGGCAGAATCACGTTCGTTTTCTCCATATTTCTTGCGACTTCTAAATTGCTTTCACTTTAGTATTTTCAAAACTGTGCCTCTAACGAGATAAAACACACCGCATTGTTAATGCAAACTGGTTAAAAGGTTAAAATATTAATACCGTTGATAATTCCCTCATCAATTTCTTTGTAGTGAAATGCGTAAATTTTTGGTTACTTTGTAAGGTTATATTTGATTTTTTCCCGCAATTTAAGCTAATCTTTCTTGTGCTTTCAATTATATTATATTTAATAATGTTTATTATTGAGTAATTTTGTTAAATAGGTGATTTTTTTGCAGTTATGGGTATCTTTGATCGAAAAAGCCGTCGCCAAATTATGTGGGAATTATGAGAAATTGAGTGGTGGAGACACGGCGAGGGGAATGGAGTTGCTTACGGGTTTAATTTGCAAGGCTACCAAAATTAAGAAAATTGAGCACCAGAAGTTGTGGAATCAGCTGAAATATCTAAAGTAAATTGCTGAAAGATTTTTAGATAGCATGTAAGTTTTAATTGGTAATGACGCCATTTTTTATATTTTTATTACGAAAAAAATTATTTAAAATTCCTCGTCGTTATGTCTTTAAAAATAGTTCAATTATGATCGCTGTCATTTTGATACGTTTTTTCTATAATCATAGATATTTTTTAATGTTTCCGGGCAAAAGGCTATCCTGTATGTTGCGGTTCTGCAACGCTTAAAAATTCACAGTTTGATCTCACTGACTGCGAAATTCGCTCTAATCATTCCTACGTTTTACTCGATCTTAAAACTGAAAAAGGGAACAGGTTAATTGTTTAATTTATTTAAATTTTCATTGCAATTCCACCGAAAATTTAAGAAAATCTATTATTCTATCGAAGGATTATGAAGGATTAATATGCTTCTGCATTCTGGATTAGTGAAAAGCAAAATTAAAAATTTTTCTCCCAGTTTCTCCCCTTTTTTTTTTCTTTAATATTTGATAGGTTTCTTTTTTTCTTAGATTCGTTTGCTTATATGATCCTGGCGGCTTCTGGAATCATGTCGAATATTCGAGTCTATCTGTTTGCGGCGAAGGAGTCGAAATTTTAAGCCATTATGAAGATTCTGGATGTCTCTGGATATCATTCGAAAAATTCTATAGTTATTTTCATTCAGTAATTTTATATTTTCGATTTTTTTTCGAAAAAAAGTTTTGAAGATCTTCTATGTAAAAGAAATGCGTGAAAATTAATTCATTGCAGGTTTATCACGTTTCATTACAATGTTCGAATAATTATTATCTCTTGTTTGCTGAATGTCGCCTAACATCGTATTGGTCAAGATATTATTTGAGGTAATGATAATTATTATTATTTATGAATTATTTATTTATTATTATTTATTTATCGTCCTATACGAATCAGAATTGTTGTTACTGTTTTCACTTTAACAGACTTATTTGGTTTTATTGCCTACTGGAATAAGATATTTCCAAGCTTGCAAATCTGACGCAACGTTTAGAATTTAGAACTGAAGTTAACCCTCTTCCATCATCTAGACCCATGAATCATAAGACTTACCAGGAATTCGAAATTTCCCCTGACGGTGTTAGATTATCTTTTCCTTGCTTTTACGATCCATATGGCATGTATTAAGATACGTGTCATCTCCTAAGATGGATAATGAAGAAAATGTAAAACCAATGTAGTCAATGCTTTGCGTCGATAACATCGATGAATGTTGTGTTTAAGGTAAGCTGAACGCAATCACTTGCGATTTTATCGTAATAGCGAGCATTAGGCTGTGCACAATAAATGGTCCAAGGTCGATAATTTCCTGTTATGTTATATTCTCATTATGTTTCGCAGTAGTATAATAGAAGTAGTTCATTGCAGTGAGATAGATAATTGGCTCATGCTCACCATTTGTGGTCAGAATAATTCCACTTTTAGTACGGTTAGAAAATTTTGCCAGAGAGTCACTTGGCCATAGATAGAATTATAGATGGACCAATATTTTATGATTATTTCATTATCTCACTCTCTTTGGAGGCAGGACCTGACTTTTGATGCAGATACCATTCATTTATCCTTACTTTTCTTCTTTTTTCCTTCATGGTCCCAGGCGAATTTTCATTTTGAAGATAATTTCGCTGCATTTCTATACACATAAGTTTCGCTAGATGAAGAAATTTTTCTATCTTCAAGCCATCGAATAAAGGAGTCGATCCAAGATATTTAAGAACAAAAAAAAAATCTTATTAAAACGATGTCGAATTCATCTAAATAGGTATTTCATTAGTTCCTATAGCATGAGGCAAATATTTCATTTTCTTATTTGCAATTACTTGATGGCTATAGTTAGACATGAAATAAAATATTTTAATCTAAATTACCATGTATTTAAGGTGATTTTATGAATTTTATTTTAAGATGGGGTGCATTCAAAAATGCTCAAATATCTATTTCATATTTAAGCATTGCGTAAGCTTAAAATGCATGTTTAAAATGATATTTACTGAATTTCAGTGGATTTTGCTTAAATCTATCACGATCCATCCGAATTTGCATTCGTACAAAGGACAAGTCGAAAAAGTTTTTACCATATATGTGTAAAGAGCTGATAATAGTGCATCGCTTAGCTAAGACAGAGAATTGTGCTGTCGAAAGTATTATCAGGTGATTTTTTTTTTCTTCATTTGTCAAATTTAGTAATTATCAAAAATTTGAACAGAATTCAGCAGAAATAAAGTTGATATTGGCCTTTTTGATTTAAATATTTGACTTGAAATGGCAGGTGGATGTTTTAAGTTAATATTTATTTGCGACTGTAATTTCTCACTATTTGGCCTTTGGTGAATCGCATTAATGCAAGGGAATGTTTAGAATAAGTTGGTAAGCAAAGACAAGAAAAACTCTCCAAACTTGAGCAGTAAAATTTCATATGGAATTAAAACTTATATAAATAAATAAGCAATGAATATGCGTACATTAGATGATGATAGCAGTTACGCAAGGAATAAATGGTTTGACGGAATGCGATTCCATATGTCTCGTCATAGCATTCCTCACCCTTGAAAATTTAGACAGAATTCAGCAAGTGGATTATTTTTTACAGCTCTAAAGTATATACTGGACGTAAACAAATTGAATTATCTCTTTCATGGTTTCTTTTTTTACATTAATTGAAATTTTTCGGATATTTTTAAGAAATTATAAAATTTCTTATGAGTTTTGAGAAATTACGAAATAGAAATTATGAAACAAGCTAAATTTAAATATGAAGTAAATAAATAGTGTGAAGAGTCCACAATTTCTGGTTAAATTCGATCTACTTGGGGATAACTATGAGGTATTTTTGGAAAGGATAAAGTAAATTACTGTACTAAAGTACTCTAAAGTACTGTGAAGTACCGTACTGTTTCCCAGAAATAAGATTTTTGGTTTCTATCGTTGGAATTAAACTGTTTCCTGCAAGTTTGGCTTTGGCTTGTTTAGGCTTATCAGAGTTATTGGATCTTTTGCATACTCATAAATTTTATACAGTTGGTTTCATGTGGTATATAAAACATATTCTGCAATTGTTCTTTCCTTACTATTTACTTTTTAAAATAAACTGTAATTATATAACTAAACTGTAAGACTAAGAAATCTCAGTTATAAATTTCACTAAATTTCTTGTTTCTTTATTGTTTCTTAAATTAAATTTCTTGAATTAATCTTTCTTGAAATTTATGCTAGCTAATAGTCTTTTTGTATTGTGTATTGCAATGATAATAAATTATATGGAAAATTATATAATATATTCATTATAGTCAAAATATATTCATTAATAGAAAATAGATTTTAATAAGCGGATATTTGAAGTCTCAATTCATATTTTGCTTATGGCCACCATCAACTGTTAAAGATTTGTTAAAATAATTTTTGCTTGTTTTAAGCACTGGAAATGGCCGCATTAGTCGTTCAGGAAAAGAACTCCATTTGGAAAGCGGAATTTATATGATTTACGTCGTTTCATTATTGACGATGTTCGCAAGAAGGGAAATTAATTTTTTTATAAGATTCCAAAGGTCTCTCATTGCGTTTCTGCTAAGGTTTTTTTATTCTGGCTAACCATTAAAATAAGTTCTCCTTGTTAGCCGTTCATTCATTGCGTGAAGCGTATTACAATTAAACTGCCATTTCGTAATCGGATTTTTTATCGGTCTTATTACATTCAATAGTGGGTATTGCTGTTGATCCATTCGTCCCTAAGGTGATTGTTTTCATCCTAATGAATCTGAAGTAAGCCAAGCCAGAAATAATAAGAAAAGAATTGTATCTGATATCTTTAGCACAATACCAATATCACTAACGCGCCTCTGTATACCACCAGCTTTGTTCGCTAAGTCATTTATCCACTATATAATCGATAACGGTATCGTCCTCGAAGTTTGTTTATCTTTGCTTTTTATTTTCTTTCTTTTTGCATTTATTTGCGACTCTCCATCGAAATTCACCTTGCATTGAAAGTGCAGTGTATATATTTTAAAAAAGCAAGGAAAAATTGCAGGAAAGTCCCGAATTCGCAGTACGACATATTGCCAATGAAGCATTTGGATATATTCTAATGATCGACAATGCCAGTTCGAAAAAATATCTCCATGTTTTTTTAAACCTTTTTTTTATTTTATTTTAAACCTTATTTTAAACTTTATTTTAAACCTTTTTGCAGCTTTTATTAAATTATTTATCGAAAAATGGATTAAAAAACTGGTTCTTCTCATTCTTGATTGCCTTAGTCCTTATGATAGTTTATTTGAGGTATGTAACTCCTATAAATATACGTTAAATCTGAAATCTACGCGGCCATCGCTGTGGACTTTCGATTCTGTTCCCCCAAATCATTGTCAGGTAAATTTCTTTTTCTGTATGGACTTAAACGTTCGAATATATTTATTTTTGAAATTTTATACGAAATCTGCAATTTCCATCGATCATAATTTATCATTGACAAATATTGGTTGTAACTTTTGGTATTGAAATACATAGTATAAATTTTTTAAAATTAGCTCATATTTGATATAATTATTACCATATACTAATAAATTGTCGAAAATTATTGAAGTCTCAAGTTATTTATTAGTTTTAGATAATTAGTATGCTCTATCAATCCAATTCGTCTATGGACGATATAAGGAAATATAGGGATCTTGGAACTGCGATGTATTCTTGGCAGATGAGATTCAGTGATAGTAAAACGATTGGGAAATGGATGCCAAAAAATGGCACAAAAATTTCTCCTAAAACTGAGCATTATCCTCCCATTGATGATTTCAGTCTTTCTATTTTACATGGAACTTATATTGTATCAAAATGCAAATAAAAAAACGAAATAAATATAAGAAAAAATCAATGTTTCACTGATTTCTTACGATAATGGCAATGGTGATAAGAGATAGACTGAGAACATGCTTTAAAGAGTCATCCTTAGAACAAATAAATTAACATTAGCGAACATCGTGAGTTT